AAAAAAAAAAAAAAAAAAAAAGAGAGAAAAAAGCCCAAGAGAGAGGGAGCGGCTGGGGGAGGCGCCCCGAGACCCCGCCGCGCTGTCGGCTCAGCGTCGTCCTCCTTCAAGCCGAGGGAGAAAAAGTAAAGCCCTGGCCCCAAAGCGCCGGGCTGCTAATGCCAGAGCCCGGTCCGGGGTCAAGGGCCCCCAGCGGGGAGAGATCGGCCCCTGGCAGCAGGCAGGTCCCGGCCAGGCTCAGCAGCTCCGCGCACCGAAATGGAGACAATCCCCCGCGGCCGCTAATAAGTGCAAAGGAGGGGGGCGTGGTGGACATTTAAATGCCCGCCCAATGGGAGGTACCGGCTGCTGAGCCCCCCGCACAAAGGGAAGGGCCTGGTCCCCCCGTGCAGGGGGAGGCGGAGGCCACGGGGGGGTCAGGGACGTTGGGCAAGGGGTCGCCCCCAGCTTGGTGCTGCTCGCGGGTGTCGCTCGCGCGCAGGTCCCGGGCCCTGCTCCCCTCCCGCGGGCCTCGGGAAACTGCCCAGAAACCGGGCGTGAAGCTGCCCAGCTGTTTCCCTCTGCCCCGGAGCAGCTGGCACACAAAGCCAGCTCCAGGTGGCTCCTCGCCCCCATGGGCGGCTTGCCCGGCTTCAAAAACACGCCTCTGCCTCAGTTGCTGTGCACGGAGGTTTGCTGCACCTCCTCACCCCTTGCAAATGCCTGGATCTAGAAGGAGGCAGCCTAAGGGTAAATATTATAGCAGTGGTGGCCTTAGGGTTGTTGGGGCCCTGGGCAAGAGAGTCGTTTGGGGCCCCTTCAAGGCTTAATTTTGATGACCTGTAAGCAAGTCGGACGTTTGTCCCAAAACTTTCGGGTCCTGGGTGCTTGCCTGACTTGCCCTCCCCTAAGGCTGCCACTGGTTGTAGCCCCCGTGGTCTGGAAATGACGCCAGGGCAAAGATTTCTGAGGGTGATCTCTTTTGTTGGACTATGTAGTTGGGATGAAGTTAGCTGACCTTTTCCCATGCAAGACCTTCTTCCTTTGGGGCCTCTAAGAAGAGTCCTTTTTCTCCCCTCCCCCCTATGTCTGCTTTTGTGCAATTGAGGGCACCTGGCATCTGTTTTGTTTCATAGTCCCCCTCTCCATGCCCATACATCTCTTACCCCCAGTCAAGCCAGACTCGTTTTTTGCTCTTTCTTGGGTGGATCTTTCATAGGGCAAGATAAGAGAAAAAAGGCATTGAGCAAACTAGCAAAGTGTCAGAGTGGAAAACAAGCCCCCAAAATATCCAGGGCTGATGGCTGCAGGTGAACCTACGTGGAACTTTTTCATTTTCATTTGCTGAAGTTTCCCATTGACGCTGCCCCTGCCATCACTGGAAAGCAATGTTAGAAGTTGGTGAAGGAAACTGGACTATGGGCTTTGTTTCTGGAGGTGCTGAGCCCCTGGTGTCCCTCAGCTGGAACAGATTATACTCAACACTTCTGACAATCAGGCTAGGAGTCGGGGTTCAAATTGGCCCCATCTGGTTTAAAACAGCCACAGTTGATGCTGCCAGCCCTCCCACGTGAAGCGGCAGGGAGGCTCAGGGTGTCATGCTCCAGTGAAGGCTATTTCCCAGGCATCTGACAAAGTGAGGTAGCCCCCATGCGTTTCCTGCCTTATAAAAAAGCATGACGTATGGATAAAGAATAGGTAAGTCTGAAGAGTTGAGGTTAGAGTATCATGGTCCCAATAGGTTGCTCAGCTACTGGGCCTTTCTACTCTGCCGTCGTGCTTCCTGTGGGGGTCATTTAGCGATTGCACAGCAGCTTTGCATTCCTGCAGGAGCGAGGTCCTCCCATCTTGTTTATCAGGGATGCTGATCTTGTACTTGTGTGCCTCATTCCTCCGTAGCCTCATAGTTATCCTGGCTTTGGCCAGCGGAGGAACAAGATCAGTGTCTCCCTGCAAGGAGTTAATGCTTAGCCTTACTTGGCCCTATGTGTAGCTTTAGCTTCCAGAGGAGCAGGACAACCTAGTGCAACCAGCTGTGTGCTGCTGCAATAAAGGGGTAGGATCAAGGCCAGCATCTGGGCTGGAAAACAATGGCACGTTGTATTTGTTTTACCAACAAGGTCATGTTTTGTCTTCCCTTCCCCCACCCCCCACTGCTGGAGCAAAATATCTGTGTTAATTAAAATAGACCTCATCTTCCTTATTGACTCTTGGTTGTCAGTTGATAAAGCCTTTGAATGGGTGCCATGTGTCTTTTCATTTGTCCTCCTGATCTTTAATCCATATGTTAAAATCTGGAGTTGCCCAATGGGCCATAAGGGCAGTGAAGGGGCCATTGAGGATTTATAGGACTTAACTGAATGCCTCTGTTTAGAATTCTAAATTCTCAAGCCCTTGTGAGCTCCAGAGAGCTGAAGGGTGGGTTTCAATGAATCCCTTAGGCAGCATCAGATAAAAACACTGCCTTTTCTTTTTTTTTTTTTAGTTCAGCACCACAAAATATTTTATTCTTAAAGGAGGAACGTGGGTTCAAAGCTTCTTTGCTTTACGTGCTGGGACACATGCACACAAAAAGAAAACAGCCAGGGAATATGGTGTTATGGGTGCCTCTTCTCACTGTAGCAGGAGTGTCAGGTCTGCCCTGATTTCTGGGTTGGGCCTGTTCCTGTGCAATCTTCCCCACTGCTAATTCATTTTTCCAAAACTTTCAGAGTATGTTCACAACCGTGTTCACGAACATGGGTGAGTTTACTGCCAGGAGGATTCATTTTCTTCTGTCTCCCCACAGAATGGACACGGCATGGACAGATGCAGTGCGAGTTTCTCCCACACCGCATCACCCTATGCGTTTGTCCCCTTACCTGGAGAGAGCACCTGGACTAAGGAGAGAATTCAATCCATTCGCTCCTCTGTGTTGCTGGGACAGATGCTGAGGCACGCTGCAGGCCCAGGCTTTGTGGAATGGGACTGATGCCATCAGTTTGCAGTAGCCATCAAACAGTCACGAGATGGTCTAGTCTTCGCTGCACCTCAAGCTATGGTAAGCGTAACTATAGTCAGACTTGCACAGCCAGGCGGCGTTTACAGCCAACTGTTCAATATTCCATCTAAAAAATGTATCAGCCTTTATGGCCTGTCTAGACCTGCTGCCTGCTCTGTTGCTATTGTTGCCTTCTGAGAAATGGAGGGCAGCTATCCCATGTTGATTGCTTTAGCTGGCACTGTAAAGGGGTAGAAAGCTGTAGAGTGTTCTCCAAGGCACCCCTCAGTGTACCCTGGCACGGACATCTGAGATGAGAGGACTGGCCAGCCTGAATTCAAAGACATGAGTAAATAGGCGGGATAGGCAGCAGTGGCAGGTCATGTCAGATCCCACATGCAGCCTGATTGTTATGTTAATGAGAACCCAGTTTTCAGGCAAGGTCAAAATGCAGGATCCTTCAGTTGTCTGGGGGCACTGATTGGTAACAGCTGTAACCTCCATCACAGTGGTTGGAGCAGAGCAGCTTTTCGAGTCGTTGCTAAGCTTAGCTGGCTTTGAAACTGCGGCACAAAAATGAAAGCTTTTTACTAGTCTTGAGCAATCCACTCTCCCCTTGTGCCTGTTTGTTGTTCTGGCACATGAATATTATGTTCACCTGGCTTGAGTGTCACCCCTGTTGACTATCATGCAAAGCATGTGCAAATGTCTGTCTCCACCTGAAGTCCTGGTGAAGAATTTGGCACTCTAGAGCCCCTGCTACATCTTAGATCAGGGGCAGGCAGTTATTTTGGGCAGAGGGCCACTTACTGAGTTTTGGCAAGCCGTCAAGGGCCATGTGACAGGCAGCCCAGGTCAGATTAATATTAATTTTCTAAACTTTTTAGGGGCCCTGTGGGCTGGATAGAATGGCCTGGCAGGCTGCATCTGGCCCCCGAGCCGCATTTTGCCCACCCCTGCCTTAGAGATATTACTCAATTAATTAACTGGTTAAGCATGCAATAAATTTAGACCAGCCACGCTGTCAGAGTAATTATCACACTAAAAATGACTGTCCAGCTACAAAAAGAGTCAACCAGCTATCAAGTTAGTGCTTGAATATGTGTAGCAACTCTGTTGCTGGTTTCTATCCAGCTTTCATTTGAACATGTAGCGGGGCCCTAGAAATGAAATGACAGCCAGAAGAATCAAAACCAGGGCTGGAAACAGGATTGACAGTGAAGTGTCTCTCAATCTTGCTGACATTTCCTTGCGTGGGCAAGAGCTGTCCTCCTTTGGTGTGGGTGGAGATAAAGCTGTGTCCTGTAGTTTGCCTTGCCTGTATTGAGTGCTGTATATGTCTGTGTTTTGCTGTGGAGGGGCATCGTCCTCTGAAAGTGAGATCTAAGGAGTCGTCCTGGTGTCTCCTGGATGCCATTCTCTGCTGCTGCTTTGTGTTCTCTATTGCATCTCATCTATCCCAGCGAAAGTCCTGGTCTGTCTGTGCCAGTTTGTCAGAGCAGGGGTTTTGCTGCATAATGCCTTAATGGGGAGTCAGTGGAGCAGGAGTATTGCCTGTGCCTTACCAAACACAATCCATCCGTTCCTCTCCCCGGTAGCTGTTTGCTAGGAAGGGATTTTCCTCAATGAAGCAATAGGCTGGCAATGTCTGAGTGACAGGGCTTGTTTAGCAGAAGGAAGGGATTTATTGGAAATGAGGGGGGGAACCCCATTCTGAGAGCTGTGTCCCTGGGGTATTGTGTAGCTTCACTGGTGCTACTTGCTGGCTGGAGTGCTGCTCACAGGTTTTTCTCCATCTGTGTCCCCTCTCCCCCCATGCAGAACCCAGATCCCTTTTTCATTTTGCTCCAGGGGAGAAAGTGCTTTACACCCTGCTGCGCCCCTGCCACAGTGATCATGGGCTAGAGCTAAAGTGATGGGAGGCAGATGTGATGTTTCTAAAGGGCAAACTTTAGCATGATTAGTGAGGTCAAGATGCAGCCCTGTTGGGGAGGGGGAAATGGCCCCTTTCATCATCATCATCATCATCATCATGGATACACCAGATCTTGCTTACATTTTGACAGAAGCTTTCATCCCAAAAGATCCCTGACCACCAATTCGCTCTCGTTTTAGAAAGGACTTTAAATCTCCTCTTCTTCTGTGAAGCCAACAAGGAACGTGTTTCCTCTGGATTTCTCACCGTGTCCCATCATCTTGTCTACTCTGTCTGTTCTTTATATATCACTGATGCTGGATTTCACTAGGACTGGGGCTTTTTTCTGCCTGCAGTAGGAAGTCTTGCTGCAGTGTCGGTGCTCTGATCCTCAGCTGAGATATGCCTGGGACCCTGGGAGCAGTGGTCTGCCTGGGTAGCTCTGATTGCAAATTTTGGCCCTTTTCTGACTGAGGGGCAGGGACTGCTTTCTTTTTGTTTTGTATGGGGCAGAGCACATTGCTAGATGGCATGGCAAAACTCTGCACTAATAATCAAAGGGTCTTTGAAATGCAGCTAGCTCTGGGGTGCGGGGCTGCAGCCTGCTCTCAGCAAGGCAGCACCCTGCAGGAGAGTCAAACTCGCTGATGTCACTACCGATCCTTTCGCTGCTTTGAATGGGCTTTGGGCAAGTGCCAAAAGTCGCATGGTGCAGCAGACACGGGCAAGTCTACCTGTTTTTTCCATGTGATGCTCATGCCTAAAAGTCCTCATGGAGGGAGACGTCTGTGCTGATGTTACTTTCTGTTTTTAGAGCCTAGTTAAAGCACCAAAGATTATTAATTTATTCCGTGTTAAGTGCTGACAGCCTGCAGGAGACAGACGCAAACATTGTTCCTGCCTGAGGAGCTTAGACTCCAGCTAGAAGGACGGCACCATTTGCAGCCTCACACCCTGACCCTGTCTCCTTTGTTATTCATCCAGCTTGCATTTAAGAATTAACGCGATTATTTATTCATTTATATGGAGTCTTTCACAAGTGTCTTCTCATCTGCTAGTGGATCTTAACTGAGTTAGAGGCAGCCCCACCAGGATAGACAATGCCACTTGGCATAAAGGAGAAGACTTTCCATTTTGCTTTAAAAATAGCAACGGAATTAGCTAATTAGATCTCTCTGGGGAGAGAATTCCAGCAGGAAGAACACGGGCCAAAGCTGCCCTCCTTTGAATGTGCAGAGGGGAAAGCGTGAACTGGAACATCCTAGCATTGGCGTAGCTCAAATGTGGAAATACTCGGGGCTCTTTAGAGACGGGGCTGAAACCTTGGTGTTCAGAGTTGGCTCCTCAATCCACACCTAGGCCTTTGTGATGGACAGAGATTGTACCCCTTTAAATGTACCTGTGCTTGGTTCAAGTGGTGCAATGCGTGGATGCAGTTGTATTAAGAGAGACAGGCTCCTGCTGACACCGTGCAAAGGTGATTTCCGCAAAATGGCTATCTAAAAACTAAGCACTGGTACTGTTGCACTGATGTAGCTGTCGGTGACCTCTGCATAGTTCTAACTCTCTGAATACCAGAAAGCATAGTCGTCTGAACACGTGGACAGTTAGCTTGGTGTTCAGATGTGCTCAGCTGTGTCTGCGCTACAGGCATCTTCTGGCATCCCTCTATTTTGGGGTTAGAAAAGGTGTGATCCCTGACTGACAGCTGTGCAGCCAGAAACCCTTGGCATAGATGTCATTATGTTGGCAAAACCATTCTTCTCCCAGCCTAGGTTTTATGATATCAGGCTACCGCGTGCCTTTGCCAGTGGCCATATTATACAGCTGTTCCTCTACTAGTGTTCCTAATACAATGGACATAAGGACTTAGCTCCTCTGGTTAAGTCCAACAAGCCCTATTTCCACTGTCCTTGCCAATGAATGAAAAAGCAGGGTAATAGCATGAGTAATGAGGGCGGTAGGTCAGGAAGTAGCGTGAGGATGGAGTAAGTGGAGAAAGCAGTCAGGAGATTATTGCAATAATTGGTGACTGATGCCCGTGCAGCCAGGAACCTCAGAGCATTTTGCAAGGGTGTGTGCGTGTCACTTGCTGTTTAGAGAAACCCAGGATGGGAAAGTGATTTGTCCACGGACTTGGTGAAATCTTCTTGCAGAAGTGGCTTTTGTTTCTGTGAGTTTAATTCACTTCCAAAAAGAACTAGGGTGGATATGCAGGGGGGGAATGTACTAAGGCTCTTGGTCTAGATTAATTTAGCTTTCCCTTCTGATGTGTCCTCATGCAGATGTGCCCTGTGAGGCCACTCACTGACTTGGATGCAGATGCCCCACCGGAGTAGAAGAGACTGTTGACCAGCACACTAAAACATTCCCATTTCAGAAACTTGGGGCTAGATGCTGACAAAAAGGGTCTTGGGTACATGACAGTGTGCACCAGACCAGCTGCATGTGCATGGCTACCAAGTGGCTTGGGCAGGATCTTACCATTACTTCCCACTCAATCAAACAGGACACTATTTGGAGCTAAAGCCATGAGCAATAGCCTTTGGACCAAGAGGGCACATGGGTATACACATGGGAATTGGCTGAGATTATGGCAGAGATGGTCTAGGTGGTTGTCTGGTGCCTGCGTGAGAACGGGGCCTAGATTAACACCAGCCCTGGTGCCAAGACTGATTGTTGGGGTCTGGCTACGCCAGCCCCAGTTTCATCCATCTCTACCCTAGTGTTGGGTTACTCCGTGCTGCCCAGGCACTTTCACTAGAGACAGCAGCTTTGTGCCAAGGGGCTTGGGAGTCTGTTCTGCTTTGACGCTGGTGTCTGGTAGAGGGAATCATCAGTGACCTTTACGTTCTGTGCAGCTGCCAAGGAAAATAATGGGCTAAAGGTGGAGGGGAGGGGGACATCAGGAGCGCTGAGAATTGTGCGATCCAAATTCACACTCTCTCCTGTCATACACGAGATTACAGCATAGCCCACAATGGCCGGATTGTCCACGCCTTTGAAATGCACCTGGGCGGGAGGCTGGTTTGGTTTCCATAGAATATGGTTGCAGTTGAGTATTGGAGGCTTTCAAGATAGGAGGTGGCTCCGAGAGGCGACCTGTCCTGTTTTTGCCAGGTGACGCGATCAGCATGGACTCTGT